TGTTTATTATTAGCAATGTTCTTCCGACGTATGATTTCTTTTTAAAAAATGCGTTTCTAAAGTGCATAAACTTTTGGGATTGACTGTATAGCCAATACATCCTTAATTCTTTTGGAACTGAAGATTTCATTTACTCTAACAGGAAGATGCTATATATAAAGTCTATGGTGCACGTCGACTCGCGTAAGACGCGATGTTATCGTCGGCGAGTAAAGAGCGTTTACCCGCGCCGCGGGATCATATCGGAATGGCCGATCGCGTCGGTCTTCGCGCGTACGCGAGCGTAATCACACCGCCACGACGCGACGCGACGTGGTGTTGTCGTCGCTCGAGAATGCGGTGCGTGGGTGAGGAAAGCACGCGAGGGATTAGAATTCTCGGCAAAAGCGTGTAGCGTGTCCTCCTCCTCCTCGGCTTACACGACTTTTCTGAGCTTGCTTGAAACGTACCGTGCTTAGAATTCTTTCGCTGATCTGTCCAGTCCACTCTCTATCATTATTCAGCCCGATGATAACGTATTATTAGAGTTATTACACGTCTATACTCTTCGGAGAGGAACTTATTCTATTGTCATTTTATATCAAAGGAGCGTCTTCGAAGATTTCTTTAGACACGCGTCGTCAAATGATAGGTAGATGCAGATGAAATTAGATAATTCCATTGTACAGTCTCGTATTGTGCGGTTATTGAATTAGGATTTTCATTAACGTCGCTCATTGCGACACTATCGCGTTAAGTAATAACCATCGGCAGACGCTGATAAATTATTCTCATTAAATAAATTGAAAGACAACTCGGCCGACGTGCCGCGCGCACGTAGGCGGTTCATTCATCTCGCGCGTCGATTATATTTTCTACATACCGATTGCGACACCCGATCAACTGTTTTCCATGCGACACTTCACCAAATCTAGTTATCGAAACGATACTGTAATCTGGCTTCTTAAATCTTGATAAAATTTTTACAAAATGCAGCTGGATATCTCTGATATATTTTTATTGTGTAATTGTTAGATAACGATATCTCTAATGGTTTCTACCACGATTGCGTCCAATACGACGTAGAATTAGAGAAAACCCATACGTATCGCGTTTTGCCATCTTACCGCAAGCCTCTTCCTAGAAGAGGAAGAGGAGAGCTTTTACATCACAGCTGCTCCAATCGGGATCCCTCGACTTTGAGAAGCTCGCTCTGGAAGCAGTTCCAGTCGCGAGGGTCGCGATGAACGGGAGCATTATATCCCGTGACGGCGATAAATTATGGTGAAGCTTATGCCCTGCCACGATCAGCTGGCATTGACAGCGGAGAGGCGAAAGAAGTTAGTAAAAAAAACTCGACGATTTGAAATTGCGTTAACAGTGAGTTTCTCTGGCTGACGAGGCGGTACGTGCGTGCGTGCGTGCGTGTGCGATATCGCGCGTTTCTCGCTTTCCTATGTTACAGCTGTCTTTCTTGCTCCGTTGCCGATTGAGCCGCGCTAAATTTAGAGTATGATCGACCGGTTGTTCGCACTATCTGAACAAATAACTCGGCGATTAAGTCACTCGCGTGGCCGGGGAGTGTCGGACTGAAAGTTGTCACCGCGAAGCATCGTTTACTCTCAAAATTGTTCGTTTTGTCAACGATTTGGTCAAACTATAGGTGTTTCTAAAAGTTAATCTTGCACCGATGGTGTAGCGAAACATGTCGCGATTCCACGTGGGGAGCACGTGCGAGCTCGGCGTACGAGAGGCAACGATGGACGCCAAGTGGGAGGGTTCCAGCTGTACCGCTCGAACCTTTGACAACGAGGACTTAGGTTGTCATGAGCATCGGTGAGTTTACTAGAACGTCTGACAGTGTCCTCACAAAAAAATAGATACGCCACATTTCCCATTGTTCATATCTGCCTCTTATTTTCTATTCCAACGTCTTAATTCGTCCGAGACTCTCGCTATTTACAGTAAAGATGACGCGAAGGCTGTCCGAAAGTCTTAAACGGGGGAACGTGTTTGCGTTCCAGCTTGTAAATCTGCTGGCATCCGGCCATCTCCGGTAATGGAGCAAGTTTCTTCGCAGCTACAACAAATAAACACGTTGCGTTCGCGTGGCTATTGTGACAACAGTGTGTCGGGGTTTGACCCTTTCTTTGTTCCGGTTCACCCTCGTTTCCTTTCTACCCCGATTCGATCTGCGGGGCATGGAACGCTCGCACATCGGAAATTCTTGTATTCCCTCGTCGCGAAGCTCGATAATCCAATTAAAAGTCTTAAGCAGTAAGGATTCTTCGCATCTGAGAAACCCGACAGGTATTGCTCTTCCCGGTACTTAGGCGCGGAACGTGACTTTCCAATTAAAGACTTAGCGCTTGTCACGCTGTCGACGAAGTTATTTCTGTTCACCTACCCATTTATTTTCCACGGTACACGTGTAGAACTACCCGAGAATCAAAGAGATTCTACTTCCACTCTGTCATAATAGAAAAGTAAATTTTCTTTATGGTTTCCAGTGAAAAGAAAACTCTGTAAAAACGTCATTCTATAAAATATCAACGAGGAACTCACTTATGTCACCACGACACATTGTCAACCCACCGAACAAGACAATGCATCATTTTCAATAATTGTTTATGGACTGTTTAAGCCCTCGGCTTGTAAAAAGCAAATGGAAATTTAGGTAGGCGAAAACCGGAAAAATCGTTAAGGCAGACAGGAATAATCGCAGGGAGATAAAACGGTTCCGATTGTATGCAAATGCGTGCTAAACGTAGCGTCGTTTTAACGCGGCCCGCTTTATGGGTACCCCTTACCGAGTGTCGGAGATAACGAGGTTATTCGTTCGTGATAATCCTTATCGACGAGGACACCGCCACAGCGACTATGGTATTCTACGTACATACAGTAGCCTCCTCAGTCGCATTCTAAACTGCCGTGGATACGCCACGTGCCTTTTCAGACGTTTCGCGTCGCGTTCATTTCTGTAACATAACATCTTTTATTTCAATCATCTCTTAGACACGAGCCTGGTTTTAATCAAGAATTTTTCACAAAATATTTCGTTGTTTCATGCTAAGTGTTTTCTAAATGTATTCATAGTTAGGACGAGAAGTGTAAGATCGCTTTTTCATGCCGTAAGAGAAAATGCAGATTTTATAAACATGTTGGAAATAATGTATTCAAAGATTTCTAATAGAAATCAGATAATAGTGTACAAAATTCTATGGTTCTCGCATAATCAACTAGTGACTAGAATAACTGGTGGCGATAAGATCTTCCGATTGAATTTATGACGTAAAGAGGAAACGATTAGAGAGGCGAGGCTGGCGATTGCAGCTGCCAGACGCAGAGTCAAAGTCCGCTTCAATGACGAGAAACAGGGGTCTCTCTCGCGTCAATTGACGGTCGTTTCGGTTCTCCGCTGTTTCAAGTCTCGATTAGAGGCTTTCGAACGCTTTATAGTATTGCTACTGCGTAATCGCGAGTCGATGATTCATGTGGCACACCGTGTTGCCAACTGCGAGTACGTTTAAATCTTGCTATCAATTCTTTCGATGACTTAGGCCCGTGTTCCGCTTTCCAGCAGAACTCGGAGCATATTTTCAAATCGTGATTCTGTCAAACGACGCACTTACCTGTTTGTTGCTAGTAGATAGGACTTTTACCTTTGGACGATTGGTTAACGATGACACAGACCGTGTATACGGTCCAGAACAACGGTGTTCGTAATGGAAACCGAGGAGCGAAGGCCGTCTCAAGCGGAACGCGATGCGCTGCGAGCTGGAGGACGCCAGCCAGTCGAAAGTCGCGCGCGGATCGACGTGCAACTTGTGTTAGTTTCACGCATTCGGTGCTTCCCAGCTGGGATCTTCGAAGCCATTTAAATTCGGAATCGTGTTTAATCAAATAGAGATTGTAAAATCATTTTCCAAACAAGTACTTATCTATTGGTAAATTGTATTTATTAAGAGACTGTGGCTTTCCAGTCAATAAGCTTAAATATACATCATTGTTTGTAATAGATAAAGGAAATCTCACTTTGGATTTAAAATTTAATTTGATCTAAAAATTTACAGTCTGCTTATTAAAATCATCGCGGTAAAGATTTTTGGATATTCAATCGATGCGTTAAGACCCACCGTGTTTCTTAATGCCTGACCTGTCGTTTAATGTGTCGAGAGATCGAATCGCGAACGCGGGACAGCCACCGAATAGATTCCGAGGCATAAACGCATTAAGTTAATTCGATTTGCCCACCGAGGGAGACAGAATGAGACGTCGTTTTCAGCTGACTGGCCTCATTCAGTTTCAGTGTTGCCGAAGCGGTCGAAGGTCGAGTCGAGTTTTCTCGGCGAGCTTCACACGGATTGTTTGATTCTTGTTATCGCCGCTCGTGCTCGCTATCAAACGATAAAAGAAGAGCTTTCGTGTGTGTTGACGTGGAACAGCGAGCCAGTTGCTAACGAGAATACAGTATACGCGTTTGTGTCCCACGTGTGTGCAACAATGGTCTGGGACGACGGCTTGTCCGTGAAGGAGCTCACGGATATGAGGAAGAAAACGCCCCGGTTCCCCTCGAGGGAGAGAAATTTCGCGATGAGGCGACGCGGGATTAGGAGTACGTTTTCCTTGGGTAGCGCGTCGCCACTCGCGGCTCTGCCACCTGATCCCGACGTCGTTCACGAGGAGGAACGTCCCGAATGCAACCACGATCGATCCTGCACCGATTACGTCTATACGCTGTAAGGGTTCAAATCTTTAACCCCTTTCTTTCACAAATTATTGATTATCTTGAGTCTGTATTTTAGCATCAAATTGATCAACAGGTTTTTATTATGATGTACAGAGAATATTGAAAAAGAATAAATACAAGAGAGATCTTAGAATGTACGAATTACAGTTATACTGGACAAGACCGTTAATTATGTTTCTTCCTTTAATAGGATCGTTAAGGAGAGTTTCGATACTAGGAATCAAAATAATAATCTTCATCCGTTTCTTCCCGTCCTCGATTTATCGATGATAACATTGGTTGCGTTTTAATATTAATAATGATTGGCGGGGTGTACAGAAATACGAAACTTGTTCGTTTCCGATAAATCTAAATCGAGATGCTCCGGCAGATGACTGGCACGATTCAGTTGTTCGATCGTCAATGTCGCCTTTTGGCGAGGAGAAATTTAGCAATTTCCGTTTAAAATATTACGTCCGGTGTTCGATGTCTATAGTTGAAAATTCGACGAAGTTTTTGCTAATTTTGTGAACGTACGTGACTCGTTTATTTCTCTGTACCTGCCTAGCTATCTGTGACTCGCGCACCTTTGAATTATTCAGGGACTTATAAAATCCTTGTTGGAGCCTAGTTGCCGCAGGCGATTACGCGGCTTTTTTTCTCTCTCGCAAGATTAATGACGTCAGTGATCGATAACAACGTCTGATTCGTCACGTAATACTGCGGATTCATTGCGCGATATTTAACGGGCGTTATTACGTCAGGTGATTGAAAGTTTTGTGATAGCCTTAAGATAGAGTAGTAGTTATGGGATAATATAGTATAAATTACCATTTGTGATCGAATAACTTGGATTAAACGGTAATATTTCAACGCATAAACAGTAATTTACGATTTGTAAGAAGAAACTCGTTAAGTTCAAAGCAACAGTATAAATTATCATTCGATCGAACACGTTACTGTTTGGTTTTCCTTTTGATTTCGCTAATATTCGTTGCGAATCGTATATTTTGTTCCATTTTTTTGGTAATCGTGAAAGATCGGGCTAGCTGATCTGCGTAGTTTCAAAGTGTCGCGGGTTCGGGGTTCGCGAATAGTCGTTTATTGTTTCAAAGCCGCGTTCGACGCTTATTCACTGCGAACGTCCTAGAATTTCCGTGGCTAGCCAAAATATATGAGCTCGTCAAATAAATCTCACTCACGTCCGTACCAGAATAAGTCACCGACTCATTGCCAAGGTGGTTCGTTCAGATCTTATTCCGGATGCCATGCCGATCTGATATGTCAGCTCACTCCAGATCATCGTTATTTCTCCCAACACTTTGATGACTAAACCGAATGTTTTTTCCTTATCGTATCAAAGTATGAGATTCAAGGAGATCAATGAAGATGAAAGAGCACGTTCGAAGTTCAATGTTTGTCCATAAGTAGAAAGAGTTAGCGGGCGGACGGGCGAAAATCCAAAAACGAACTCTCGTGTTTACGACAGGCTGTCTTGCACTGCCGTAACCAGTGTTCATGCCAAAATCTTGTCGGCTTATGTCATACTTTCCGCGGCGGATCTGCGCAGCTTACGAGGGAGGCTCACCGGGTTCCCGAAATCGCTGCGCTATTACCGGTTTCCCTTCTTACGTAAAACGAAGCACTGTCCGCGACAGATCCTCCAGTTTATCGCGGGAAATGTGCCATGAATACTAGGCAGATTCACTTCTTACTGAAATTAATCGCGCACATAGAAAAAGTATTTTAATTTCCAACGAGCTTAAATTCTATGAGACCCAGCTGCGTAACTAGCCGAGTGAGCATGAAAATTATGTTGAATGTTGTATTTAAAAATGCTTTCACTCGGGAATACGAGCACTTGGGTGGATCTTTTACGATCGGAGATTTTAGCAGAAGATAGATTTCTCTTCCGTGTCTCACGGTGAAACGTCGCTGCATAAATAATAATGATAATAATTAAAGTCAATCAGGTTAGAAGGTTTTACGCGGAAAATGCAATTTTCCTTTCTCCACGTTAAACGTTAAATGATTCGTAAAGACGGTTTGTTGCACGTGTGCGAAACAAAACGACAGACCTCCAGGCGCAGAGTGCCAATATTTCCGAGCGATAAGTCTTAAATACGTTTCCGTGTATCGTTTCGACACGCGTGACATACATGTACGCATGTGGTCGAAAACGCTGACCGCTCGTCGAACCAGCGCGTTAACGAGCCACGACGAAATGCCACGGTTTCGTTTTACAACCGTGATTTACAATGTTCGACACCTTTTATCGGACGGTTCCCTGCCGAGACATTTGTTCGCTTTACGCGCCCACGGACCGTGTCGGGCCGAGCAGCTTCTGAGCCCGTTGATCTCCGGCAAATTACTTATTTAGTTCCACCAAGATTCATCCTACCAGTACCAGGTCAAAGCTTAACACATTTCTTGTAGAAAAATGTCGGCCGGCCGCATATAGACTATTCTTTGTAATTCCTCGTGCAATCTAAGTTTCTATAAAGAAGAACCGTAATCCGCTGTCTAGTTTAAATGAGATCGCAGTCTTGAAACACATCATAGATTAAATAATTAATAAACATAAACAGAAATTAATTAATTAATACGAAGAACAATTTAATTAGTTGCAATTCACAGAAGAGAAGTCGGGAGGTTGTTCCGTCGGAGGAGCTTTCGACGACATTCGAGGGGGATTCGCGTCGTCGCTCGCGCCTGCGCCACCGACCGCTTCACTGTTTCTCGAGCCACCCGGTATTAACTTATAGGTACACACCTACCTACCGCGTCCCCGTCGAATCTCATGGCGCCAGTTTGAAGTACGCTCCTTCTGCGAATGCACTCTCTGTTACAGTGGCCCGCGATTTCGATTTCGAATCTCCCGCGCGTCCGCGTTTTTGTTCTTCGCGAGCACTTACCGTCAGTTTTGAAGTCCATTCGGGAACGGTGCGAGCGAACCAGTGCTACCATTATTTCGTTACTTAACGGCTACGAGTTGGTGCGGCTCTCGGAGCAATAACTCTTACGCGTTGCGTTCATACGTTTCTGTGTACACACGTGCAAGTTGTTACGGTAGGCGATATATATTTTCCGAAGACGCGGCCGGAGGTCGAACGGCGCGGCGCGAAGCGACGTGCGCGCGATGCAAGGGAACATCCGGGTGCCCGAAGTCGGATGGGTAAACGAGAAACGAGCCACCAGGCGGCTCGTCTCCGGATTTCACTTCTTCTCGGGACCGCGAGTTGAAAGACGTTCGAAAAACAGCCGGGGTCTGGCCCCGATAGACGAAACAAGCCAGTCGCGGAAGACGAAACAACCCGAAACTGCGCGGTTATCCAGCGACTCGAGCTATTTCGATGCTCGGCATCGCTGTCTTAATATAGCGCTTTTATCTAATTAATAGCCATTAGCCATCCGCTGTCTAATCTCGATAATAGTTGGTCGGGATTCATATCGTCTTAACAATCTATCTAGTCTTTCCTTTATTAGCAGATGTGTCGTATCAACACATTGCACAAGGTGATAAACTTTTTATTCGACGGTATTCATTGTCAGACGTATCTTTTAATTGAGGTGTCCCGAGATCAGAGAACGAACGGTGATATCAACCACGTTTTTCTCTTCCCAAGAGCGACTGGCAGACAGGTGATGATGATCGTCGAACGACGAAAATACACATTGGCCTTATTAGCGGTATTTCTTGTTTCCTGGCAAACGAATTCGCGGGTTTGTGTGCAATTCGAACGACTGACTAACTGACCGACCTCTGCCCTTCTCCACCGGTCGCGCACGTGCGCGGATGATTCACCTGCTACCGAATAGACCCCGATTCTCGGTAAAGTCGTTTCCGAAATGGAAGAAGAAAGATAGTCGCGTTCGTCACAGGATTTTGATTATATTAAGCCATTAACGTCGGCCCGGCTGTATAGGTGTACACAACGCCGAAACGTTATTAGCTTGCTCGTTTCTCGCTTACGTCAACTCGACGCGCGCGGTGCACAAGCGGCGCGGTTCCTCCGGTTGTCTAACGCGTTATTTATACGCCGCACGTACGCGGCCGATCGAATTCATATCGATATGTTGTTGGAAACGTGTCTTCCTCCACCCGGTTCCGTCAGATCCGGAATTAATCGATTAATCGACTCCTCCATGGATGTGCTCAAGCCTTGTTTGCCAAGAAATTTCAAGTAGAGCAAGTTCTGTAAAATAATTGATTGTAGCATGATAGAATAGTTTTATAAAAGTCAATGTCAAACGTCTACTGTAATTCCTGTTTGATTTAACACAATCGATGGCAGTCAGGAGGAAAGGAAAGTTAACTTTTTTTTCCAGTTCCGTTATCTTCGTTATCCCGGATCTATCAAGATAATCTCACAGCGACTACGTACAGCACTCTGATTTTATTAGTCCAACACGCGAAGAGCGTGTCCGAAAACTTTCTTCATGGTAAGATTATAGCTATCTCGCCATGTAATCCTTGAAGGGGTAGATACCAATTGAAGGATAGCAAGGATTTGAGATAGTTAATTTCATCGACCTTGTAGATAACACCGTAGATTGATAAAATCGAAAGTTGCGATACACAATGCAATTTTTTAGAGTATGCCAAGGTTTTCGGCTTTATCGCAATATGAAATAAGAAACGAAGATGTTCGTATAAATATCGTAAAAGTCATTCCGCGACAATTATTTTCCAAGTGATAGGGATTCTTATTTAGCCAGGACAATGTTCCCGTTTAAGGTATCACGGGATTAAAAGGAGACCACAGCACCCTCGCGTCCTTTTTCGCGTGAGCAATATGTACACGCACACAACCATTCCGGAGGATGATCCCCCCTATAAATAACCGGGTGACTTCGTGAACCGTGGCGATTTCCGCAATGAAAATAAATCCAACCGGGCGCGCGTACGCGCCGCTTGTGCTCGCCTTGCTTCGCGTCTGTGTCCGTCCGTCCGTCTACGTGTAATAATTTTTCCGGAGACAGCCGACCGTTTGCCGGTGATCAAACAAACCAATCGGCCTCCATTCAGGCCGAATTATAAACTCGCCCCGAGTCCGATTCTATGAGTAGGCAATTTCGTGGTTCTTGCTACAAACCGACCCGCGTTCGGTCAGCTTTTGCGAGGGGTAGATAAACGAGAGAAAGACTGGACTGACATTTGAGAATGTTCCTTGCACGCGGGAAAGAACGTTCGATCGTGCGCGCTGCTTTCGTTTAACTTTTTGTCCCGGTGAAAGCACAGCCGTGTATAATTTTACAGAAACTCCAAGGGGATCATACACGTCACGCGTGCTGACTCGCCATATTTTCATTCAAATGATTCGGTGATCGACGTTTGTATCTGTGCACCTGTGCGACGAGAAGAAAGGTATATCTGTCTCAGACACATCCATCGAGAGAGAGATTTAAGAAACTCGGGAGATCTTGAGAATTGCGAACAAAATGAAGAGCGAAGGTAGAGAGTCGACCGATTCATCCTGAACGACAAACTTCAAAGGCGTCACACGACGCCTACGTTACTCTCGGGCCCGGCTCCGAGAATGAGTCCTAAGGGACCCAGCCAAGAAGGCCCGAAGATGGAAGTGAGGGTGTCCTGCGTGGCTTCTCCGGGCGCGGAGCCTCAGGGGATCCGAGTGAAGATCCCCGAGCCGAAGAAGCGACCGATGAGTCCTCCCTTTCACGACGTGATGCGTGCCAGGTGTCCGTCCGTGCCTGAGAAGGACCTGTACAGGAAAACAGCGTCGCTGGACCGTCGAGACAGATATCCGACGCTTTCCGGCGCCGAGATCAAAAGAGGATTGATCCCCGGTGGCGTCGAAGCGGCGCGCAGAAGAAATCCGATGCTCGATCGTAGAAATCGTTTTCCGACGATCTCCGGCGCGGAATTGAAACGGAGCTTCGCCATCGGCAAGTGTCCCTTGGAGGATGGCCTGGACCTCAGCCTGGCGCCGTGGCCGGGCATGAAGTGGGCCTGCGTGAGGGTATTGCATCTCTACTGTAAGGTGTTCGACCAGTCCGAGCTGTTCGAGCTGATAGTTAGGTAATTGCGAGGAACGAGTTTAGACGTGTAAAACTCGTTCGTCGGGCTTCGGTTACAGTCAAGCCTAAAATGTGCTAGGGCAAGGAATATCCGTTCGATGTGTTCGTGTCACCCTTTAACGATACCATGTCAGAGGTTGGTTCGTGTTTACATTCGGACACGTGTACAAGGGTTGATAGATGGGCTTCCCGGGTAAACCTTGTCCTTAACGCCTTTTACGGGGCGTTTGACAATACCCTAGGCGAGGTGTTTACTCGTGATAAGATCAGATCAATTAAAATTCTAGAGACCCATTAACGGCGGAGCCGCGACGCAAATATAATTAGATGGCATTAGTAGGCAGACGACGTTCGCATCGACCGTCTCGGCTGTTTCACGCGTTTCAGAAAGCAGCTAGAAAGTCAGAATCGAGCGTTGCCTTTCATTTTTCGAGATTTCATGCGACAGCTGCTCTACGCACGCGATTACTTTCTTGCAAATCGAACGTTGCTCAATGAGCCGTGCCACGCGCTTTTCATTCCGTCCATCTCGGCAAATCTGATGGAAAGTCATTTATTCAAAAAAGCTTCGCAGTAAATCACGGTTTATCTCGACCCACAATTTTCTGAAGATCGACGACTTTGTCATTCGTAGCACTTAGTCCCACGGTTATAAACTGAAGATCCGACGGAGCAGTTTTCTCGCATTAAAATACGAGTCGATCCTCGAGCTTCTACTTTTTTCTTTTCTTTTCGGATTCCGCTTGAACGCGCGGCACCGCTTACAAGCGTGTTTTACGCGTGTACCACCCATCGTGGAATGTCGGAACAAATCGCTTCAGTTTATATATCGTCCGGGGAATTAATTGCGCGAGTATGGTCTCTGCAAACGCGACGCAAATAGTCCACGCGTGGCGCGTGGGATCTCGTAAATTATGTCGTCGGAGTTTTTTCTCCACGCATTTTGTCCCTCTTTTACGAGACACTTTGGCCCAATCTTGCTCCGGATTTGTACGCAACGAGATTTAATAGGAAGGAGGCGCGCAATTGGTTAAACTGAAGGGCCAGTTATTTTCAACGAGCCCAGTGTGAGAACGATATGCTCCAGCTTAATCCTCTGCCGCTCAAATTAATTCTCGTCGACACATATCTATTACCTACTGATTTGTCGAGCATATTTCCATGCAAATGAAACTCGAGGTTTCTGTAACGATATCAACATAAATTATGGCCCGCGTATTCCGTTTCACGTTCCCAGAGTTAACAGGACGTTAACATTAATTCGCACCCTCTCCTCAAATGTCAAGACGCGTTCGCGGTTCTCGTAATATCAGATTCAACGTTATCGTCTCCACCTTACCGGGAACAAGTCGTTCGAGCTGCGAGAACTCTTTATCGCTTAAGAGCTCTTTGCTCGGCGACGAGTTATGGCCCACTGGCAAACAACGACTCTGACATTACGGACGCGACATTACGTGGAGAGCCTCCCCGGGGCATAATTCGCTAAAAATCACTAGGTGTACCCTCCGGTAAAAGACAAATTTTATAGACAGATAGCGTGATAGGGTAAAAGACGACGCCTCGCCTTCGGTGAACACGAAGTAATCACTCCGAGGTTTTCGATGAACTAGTTTCACGCCCGGCGATGAGTATTTTTCGCCGTGGTTACTCGATCGACGAAAATAAGGTGTCAAGTTGCGTCGCAGCAGCGCGAATATCTCACGGCTCCTAAATCGCGATTCTATGAAGCCCGATTTTATGGCGGCCCATTAATGCGTCCGCCGGGCACTGTTAAATTTAACGAGCTCTCCTCCGCGTCGATCTTCGTTCCCCTCCTGCTTTGTATATGTACACACATCACAGTTCGATTGGAGAATTATTTGATAAATCAATTTTCCGATTTGCTTGAAGACGCCTTACTAAATTTTGTACAGAATTTGCATTCTCCACATTCTTCTAATTCCCGTGAAGCATTGTTATTGACAAGAATTATATGAAACGATGTACTGAATTCATTGGAATAAGATACTGCACATTTTTTGATAGACACATTTTTCCACAAGCGTCGTAACAGACAAGGGGTTTCGTTTATTTGAAACTTATCTGAAAGCTTATCGTCGAGCAATCGGGGACGAGAAGCTTGTGTCAGCAATGGTACGACCTTGCCGTTGATATATCCGGAAGGAAGGGTGCGGTAGGTAGGGCGGGCGTAGAACGCGCCACCACCGGGCAAATGCATACCCTTGATTATGCGATTGACGTTTTGATCCTAACATTAGCGTCTCGCACGTGGGCGATAGGAACTAGAATCGCGACATTTACGCAGCGAGCCTCCTGACTTGAAACATGTGCGGAAGGCGTAGCGTCGTTGCAAGGTCTTTTAAGTAATCGTTAAAGAAAAACATGAAACGAGATCGGGTTTTCTATAAAAGAAGACGATGATGTTTGCACTAATTAGACGATCAACAGGAAGTGAATTGCTCAATAAAACGCGATTAAAAGCCTTATTGGGGAACTGAGACGGATGTTCGTGGTTAATGAAAGACCGAGGACAAATATTTAGCTCGTTTTAATAGATACGTTGGTCGAGGTATCCGCGCCACAGTCACAAGGCTTGAAACTAAGTCAGTTTCCTAAACGGACGACGGGCATTAATCTTGTCGTTCGATGCGACGAGAAATTCCTGAGCGTCCTCATGAATGATGCATGCACTCGCCGTAGAAACAAGTCTCCGAGCTGAGGGATTCTCTTTTTTTCGTTCACAGAAAGAACTGCACCAGTTGCAAGTGCCCCAGAGAAGCGCACGATGTGTGCCACGAAGAATGGGCGTCGGTCAGGTCCCGTTTGGGTCTTAAAGGCGAAGAGTCCCCGTCCCAGACCGTACATCCGAGATCGATGGGCCTGGCATGGACCCCTCCTGGTCTACCACCTCACAAGGTGAGTACACACCGCGGAATCATTCTTTACCAGTTCTTAAATCATTTTTCAACTTCCATGATCGAAACAAAGCTCTTTTTTATTTATCGTCGAAGGAGAAATTAGGGTTTGACGATCACTTTATTTTATGATACTATTGCATAATCGCTTGCTGTTCTGCACGGATTCAATAAACGATCCGCGAAGTTCAACAATTGTCATGAATTATTACGGCGGTTACAATCACTAATAAGACGAATCGTCGGTTAAGTAGCTGGTGCGTGCACACGCACGTTTGGCGAGGTTCCAGTTTTCGATATTTTCTCGCGTCACAAATTAATAGGGGGAAGAAGCTGGTCTTTATCACTCAGCGGACACGCTTTATCGTACGCGCTTCCTGTGATCGTTGCTAACTTTCACAATTATTTTTATCGCTGCGTTTAAACGATTCCCGTGTCTTTGAACCTCGAGTCGTTTTTTAATTCAACATTGCGAGTGATTTTTCTTATTACGCACACAGGTGGAGGAATATTTCTCTATGCTGCCGGAAATATCCGTGCCCAGGCTGGACACGCCTGGCGAACGTTACCGGGATCGACAATTGGCGATTCAGTTGCCTAAGCAGGACTTGGCCACAGCCTATTGTCGTCACTTGAACCCGAAACATGTCAGCAGCGCTGAAGACTTCATGGCCGCGAGGAACGAGATCGCGTTGGACATCGGTACCGTGCAAGAAGTGGTCGAGAGAGACGTAGTTAGTACGAAAACAAAAATTATACGTTCCAACTTCGTTAGTTATGTAAATTAATTCGATGCCTAATTAGTTTGCCGGCGAATAACAAGCGAACTTTGAAAGCTGCTGTCAGAGTCAATAAATTTAGTGGCTTTAGATTGATTTACACACCTAATAATTTAAATACTAAATGGACGGCTCATTGAATAAATTCTGTTTGTCTCGCAGAAGTGTGGTGCGTGCGACGAGCCACTCGAATACGGCAGCCTCGCTGTATCGGCGAGCAAATTAGGTCTACTTTATCATCCCGCCTGTTTCCGGTGCACAAAGTGCGAGGAACTCCTCGTCGATCTCGCTTACTGCGTGTACGACGTACACGAAGACCCTGAACAGAATAGAAAGGTTCTCTACTGCGAGAGGCATTATGCTGAACAATTGAAACCTAGGTGCGCCGCCTGCGACGAGGTGAGTCCCTTCTTTCATCGCGAATTTGTTGCTCTGTACCCGTACTAAACTTCACTATCAGCGACAATTTAGTATCAATTGTGATGTAAAAAGATAATTGAAAAATGCGCGACAATATTATCTAATCCGCACATAACAGAGTAGAAAGTAGTATCGACCGTTGCTGGTCAGACAGGCTTACGCGTAGCTGTCTCCTCGGTGGTCTAACGCTAAAGAAGGAATGGTCGATTGCAGTCTGGCTGTGGTAGACTGTCTGTATCTACTGAAACCTCCTTTATCGACGACAGAGCTCTGCCAACTTGTGCCACATACGAGATATATGAGTAGAGTAGACCCATCACCTTGTGGACTCTCGTGGCTAAGGTTCAATTGGCATACCGACACGAAATATTAAGAGTGATTCAAGCGTCTTCTATTCACGATAAATAGTAATCGATCAAACTTAAATTTTGTTGGAATAATACTGACGAATTATAAGAACGTAATTTCACAAGAGTGAGCCCAATTTTTCATTTTTCAAAAGATAATACATTGGTCCGTGAATATGCTCGTGTATCTAATTATGCATTGAATCTCAAAACACTACACTTGAATTTATGTTCAGGATTTGAACACGCGAAGCGAACAAGCACATACTTCTCTTTTTATTAACTCCCAAGACAGTAATGGGATATAAAGTGTTGCTTCGCGAATGAATCTGGTTCGTACAAGATGCTGAGTCGTTTCTTCCATTTACGGGAGGACCACACGCTTTTCAGCGAAGGTGGTCCCGTGTCATTTCGCACAGTATTTTTATTGCACTGAGTTCGCATTAAACAAAAAATCTGAAATCTTACCCGGTGACCCAAATACACAGTCAGCTGTCAAGGCGCGCATAAATCGTGGTTCGTGCCAAGCTCTGGTCATTAAAATTATTTGTAAATTATGCGAACGTCGTTTTCGAACTTTAAAAACGGTTGAACGTGGCCACCGGTAAATAAATTATTGTCGCTTGACATTAGGAAAATTTTCTGCTTAACTATCGTCACTGCATATTTTAATATTCATCAGCTTTGACACTTGCCAACATCATAACTTAGCAAGGAATTAGCACTTTACGTCGTCGATGTAGTGATCCTTAAAATCATTTTTTAACATTACTTTGCGAGATGGATGAGCGATTAGTACCATGAGACAAAATGTATTCGGCATAGTTTTGGATAACAACATGATCGTAAACAATCTCTAGTCTTAAAATATCTGGAGCATAATAATATGAAGCGTCCCGCGATCTTTGCGTCGCTGTCTCGATGGAACTGGGCCGGTTTCGGCTCTTTATTTAGATGGACGAAAATAGGAATTCATGTGGGATAGGAGACGAGCATCATACAAGCGTTTGTCACCACACTGCGTAATGCGAATTATGTTACAAAAACGCGAATCAGCCAAACTACATGCTACCGCTTCATCTCGACTAATGACCTTATTAATCCCACTTAAGAGTATATTTAAGCGTTACTTAGATCGATTATACTTGATCCATCACTTGGTCCATTTGATTATTGTTTGGGAAATGTTTGAGAATAACGAAACAAGTCATTGGTTCTTTATTTCTTCTTTTATTGAATCAAAGTATTACATTCTTATAATTCGTCTGTCGAAGCTGGTTTTGAGAAGAAGCTGCGTCAGCTGCCTCAGCAGTTTGTTACCGCGTTTCGCGTTCGTGTAACACGTCCGAATTGGTTTTACTCCAACCGGAAACCTCGACGTTTAATCGTACCTGCGGCCGGTCAGTAATCTATTTTGATTTCTTGTCGATGCTCCCACCACGAACGTGGCCTGTCCAGACCATCCGAGAACCGCGTTCCCTGCTTTTATTAGAGTCAGTCAATTGGAGGCGAACGAAAGGGCTACCGAACTGTGAGAATAACCGAGGAAATCTGTAAACGAGAACGCGTTATCTCACGATCCTCGCGCGAAGTTCCACGCGATCGCCGCCCGAACTTTTCCTTCCCCGTATCAACGAAAGAAAGAAGTGATTCCGAATTTTGGTAAGTGAATCGAGCCATACACCAGCCACACAGTCGGAGAATCAACTCAGTACTCGATTCTATCTGATAATAAAATACAACAGCCAAAGGACGCGCATTACTATTCCCTCCCACACGAATTCGTGCGCACGGCTATCTGTTTTCCCTCTCTTTTCCGCGAGTGAAGAGAGAAAGAAAATACGACTTATCGTACATTACGAAACGTACACAAGATCTCATTTGACAAAGAGTTTCAATGAAAGTGCTCGTAAACGTTTAAGACGCGCTTTAGGGGGCGAGTCGTCTGCAGCCGTGGCTCTTCGGTAGACGTTCTGAGCCTCGGACTCGAAACAAACTGGTCTTTATACAAGAAAAGCGTGGCGTAACAGTGACGCAACCAACCGTAACAGCGTCGCCGGGTCGTAAAATTCGGCGTTGTCTATTTCGGGAGGGCGTCGTCGCGGTTCACGTGCTTAGCATCCGCTCTGCAAAAATGTTGACCCGCGAGCCGGCTCACCCACGATCGCTATGACACGCCTTCGGCTTTAGCTATCTTTCAAACAGGTCCCTCGGTCGACGATTCTAGAAAACAATGACTGGGGGAAAACTGCGGATTTTTATGCAAACTATGCCATTTGTGATATCAATTTAAAAAGTGAAGTCTAATTTGAAATTTTCCTCATTCTTGAAAAAAGAATCATGAGTATTATTGTTCACATTTTTATTATGTTATTTGAACGTTTGATTTTTCTAGCATAGTACATANTCGATATACTGAACGTTGTGTGCGAGGTATCTCGAAAATAGCGTGTCGCTCTGTTGTAACAAGATGAATGGGGCAACGTTCTCTACTTAAGGGAAAGTTGTATATCTGCAAAAGAAAAAAGTAAATAAGGCTCTTATATCTTAAGCTTCTCGTCGTTGATAATTTCAGAAGATGAACTGTACCAGTTAATCATCGGAAAGTTAGCAATACTTAATAAGAATACTTTCTGCGTGGGAGTGTAATAGAAGCACAGATCGGCTATTAAAGCATGGATATTCTTGGTTAATGAGTCATTATCGAAAAAGGTGCATGCACCGAACTATTTCGCGTAAACGCGAATGGGCGCTTGCGCCAACGGACATTCGATATAACCCGCCAGGGCCAGAGAACTAACACTGAAAATGCTCGATCCTATTCTTGTTGATTTCGCTCGTTTCTAACTACAACTACGATCAGTCTGGTATAAGGAGCAAATATAATAGTTTAGACGATACTAATGTTAGAAGTACGTTCGGGTACTTTCGGTCAACAAACCGTGAGTCAAGATTCAACCATCGAATGAAATAGGCACTTAAAAGATGTTGATCTTAGAGGAGCCTTGGACAAATGCTTGTAAAATAGAAATATGATTGTATGGAAAGATCGCATGACCTGGCACCAGGTGGAACGAAGGGGAAGGTCGTCCTACGGATGGAAACGGGTGCATGGATAGTTTTCAGCGATTCTAATTCGGTCCTCGCCCGCGAAGTGGCTTCGCGCAGAGATCCGGTGGCACGCTTTTCTCCGACCGTGGCACACGCGTTCGATCATCGACCGAAATAACATTGGCATTGTTCCGTTTCCCTCCAGAGGAACCGGCTCTCGTGGCAATCAGGTCGACTAATTTCGACCCTTCGCCACGACCGTGGAATGTCGCACCTTCTACGGATTCTCAGACCTTTTCCTCGCAGGGCCATCGATTGCACCTTGTCATTTCACGAAACCAGTCGCCAAGCAGCCCCTGATGTATTTAAACTGCGGGTTTCCGTGCAAAATGAAACTGTTGTGAAAACAATTTGGAAAATGAAAGACTTAAACGCTACATGCATTCCTCAAATTTTTTACGTATCTATAATTTTTGTATAGATTCATAAAATTCACAGTTTCATTGATCTATCTACTCGGGAGGTCAAGGTCTAATTGTGACCGTTTACCAAAGTAGGTATTAATTCCGTGACTCGTAACGATCAACGACCAAAGTTTGAAACTAGTGGAGAAGTAGTTTCTTGCATAGAATTAGATCGATAATCGCTTTAGATAAATTTGATACTGCGAACTAACAGATGGATTCGATTAGAACGTGTCTCCATTAACGAACTTCCTAATGGTAACGAAGACGTACAGGTACGTATTTATTAGTCGAGGAATGAGAGAACGTGGTTTTATTTCGGTGCGCGTTTCGATAGATCGACAAAGATATGTTTATTTCGGGAGGCCGGCTGCCAACGAAGTAGTCAAAGTTTACGCAGCTATTCGCGAATACAAATTTCGCGTACGTCTTTCTCTTATCAGAAAAAACGTCAGTCGATCTATTCATTCCATTTCATTCCATTCATAACCATCACTTAATTAGCTAATCAAATTGCATGTGCAATATCGTTTATCAAAGGAAACACTATGAAGCAGACTTGCGATATGTACGAATCACTTAAGTAATCAGCATATTTATAAAACGGAGGTTAAAGATCTCATTCATTTTGTCGATGGACTTTCTTTTTTAACCTTCGGAAATAAATGTACAATCTTGTAACCTAAATATTTCCAAATTGCTCGAATTTACGCGGCAACGAAAGTCGATCCCCTTTACGTAATCAGCTGAATGAACTGTTCTTACTCGACACTCGATTGAGGGGTTCGTGTAACGAAAATAACCCTCGAGAACAATGAAGTCATGACACCCACAATTTCATTCAGGTAATTGAGTACAATTATGTAATCTGATTTCTTTCCCGCGCAACACGATCGGTTTCGTCGGAGATCGTTCAACTGCAAATTCCTATCATTTCTACTCAATTGAACGCACTCTGCGTGATTGTGTTATCGCGTCTTTCTTCACAGTGATGTTCGTCGCTTCCCGTTATTTAAATGTAAAAAGAGTTTACAAAAATGCCAGTTATCATAAAAAATAAAGCAACGAGATCCTCATTTGTGTTACGTGAAATTATTTCATATCTTAATATTAATTATATTATTATTAAGAGGATAATTTTAATCAGACACAATTTTCCTATTTTTAATTTTGTAACTTATTCGGCACAAGTATGTAACAATTGATGTGGTGTCGAGGCAAATATAGATCATCGAGAGTTCGATAAGCCGCGGCGCGCCACGACGCGACGGACCGTTTTCGTTTCGATATCTGTCTGGAAGCGCGCCAGCTTAGAGGTACCGCGTGCAAAAACCGCGTGTATCGAAGATCGGCTCAGCTCGGCTCGTAACCGATGAGGTAATCGAAATAAAATCGTTCCTGAGCGACGCCAAAAATTCGGCCGCGCATCTCAGCTATGTTAACGCATAAACGATGGAATTTCCACTAAACATGTACTTTAGAACATGTAGATATGCACTGGCTCGAAAATGATATTAATATATTGAACATGCTGGTTACAATTGCAAGTTAAATGATGTTTATATTGTGAATATTATATTATGAATGATTAAATGATATTTCTTTCTATGCATATGAATAGTTAAATGATATTTCTTTTGATGCATATGAACGGTTGAATGATATTTCTATGCACATGAGTAATATAGAAATTAGGAATTAAACGGTACAATCGTTCTCAATTAATAGACTTACGCTGTTCTGCCCGACGAGATCGTTCGGTTCCGCGTAACTATTGCTACTAGTGAACTGGCAACAGACGGGCACGTTGGATGGTGAACGATCGGGTCATTAGAGCGGGTGGCGTTCGATCGCAATTAATTTGCGCGCGGGCCAATAATTGCGCGTAACCGCGGCGGGACTGCCAAAAACGGGGCTCGCGTTAATTACCCCGCGAGCGAATGATCGATCGTTCGGTACGTGCACACGGGGCATTAAGGACAGGGATTCGCGTCCAGGGACATTCGAGCTAACTTTAGCCTTAGCCGCGGTCCGCTACCTCGGCGTCGAACGTCGCGTCGACATAACGAGCCGAACGGGCACCAGTTTTGCCCCAGCCCGAACGGATTTGCCCGCGGAAAATAAAACAGTTCTCTGGCCGCCATCCGGCCGCATGGATAAGCCGATAATCGCGTGATCGCCCGTGGCTTTTCGCGTCCGCTTCGACGTTGACACGCGTTTTTAGCCTGCCGATCCAACCGCGCTATCAGGTGGACCAGTGGGTGCGCGTGGGTGCTCCCCCGCTGGGAAGTCAACGTCTTCTCTCCTTCTTACGCCGAGTGTGACGTCAGTCTCCGTTCGAGGATCGGAGAGATTCAAGTGTCGCGCCACCCCTAAATCCTAGGATCATGGATTTGGCGCGGAGGCCACCGAGATTCCTTTCGCTCTTCGAGATCGAGGATTTCCGTTACATGTTTCCGCGAGGAATTCTCTTATAAATTCACCCTGGAGCGACGTCTCTTATGCTCCCGAAGGGTGACGAGCTCGCGGAAAAGGATGATAGGATGAAGCGGATTGTAACGGTGTGTCGACGTGTCGAGTTCGCAAAGTAAGAGTGATCCGCGTAGAGAAATCCATGATAAAGAGAGATTGTCTTAACTTGTCCTACGGATAGAAACCGAGATGGGGTTGATGTTGTCAATATTAGTCGGATGCGTCGGGGTACTGGAGCTGTTCGCGTGTCTCCGTCACGTCACCAACGGCGTGGTGATCATGATCAATCAACCGGCCACCCCGTGTCTCTCGTACCACGAACCTCTCAACGATAATATGAGTATGCACGACTCGATCTGTACTTTCAGCCACTCGAGCGATGCGAACTTGCCGCGTACAGCCAAGCACAAGCTGGAGAATCTCCACGAGTACAGTTTACGAATCAGATCGGAGCTACGTTCGTTGGACAAGAGCTTCGACTACAAAAGTCTATCGGACTTCGGCGGCAGGAATTTATTGCCCGTCTCGAGGGCGAGTCCGGACTCGAGGCTGAGTCCAGATTTCAATTACTTGGTGCAAGTGAGCGAATCTCAACCGGAGGAGGATGATTACAGAAATCAGTACGAGAGAGAGACGTCGTACGAGGACGCGGCCGAAAACTGGCGGATCGAAAGTAGCTCGAGAGATCGACCGCTGTCGGTGACAGTCCCGGAACCGGATAAGTACATCAGAGTACCAACGCCGATTCCTTTCAGTTTGGATTACGATTCCTCCAGCTCTGGCGCCTCTAGCCAGGTGGGTACCTCGTTCGACAATGATTCGGGAAACGAGGCGCCGACCATGAGGTCCCTCGACGCGATACCGGTTATCAAACGATACAAGAGTCCCTCGGAGGGTGGATCTTCTGTAGACGAATCTGATTACAATGAACAGAAGACACTTCCCAGGAAGCAATTGAGGAAATCTCGTTCGAGGACTCCCGAACTTCGTCAAGAACGAGCGATCGAAGTTTCAACCGAATACTTAAAGAGTACCGAGAACTTGAGATCCGAGTTCGGAAATCTCGATGTGCCGGAAGAACAAGGCGAAACGGTACAAAGCAGAAGTCAAAAGAAGAAGATAAAATCGTCGAGCACGATTGTTAGGAAGCCGACGTGGTTGAAGTCGAAGAACGCGGAGGTCAGCAAATCCGCTGAGAATTTGAACGCGAGGAAGTCGAAGAGACACAGGGAGCCGGAACGAAGAAAATCGGATATCTCCGTACAAACTGCTAGCAGTACTCTGAGAGATGAATGGACCAATACCTCGCCAGCCGGGAGTACGGAAACCTTGTCTAGATCGGATAGCCGGAAGAGTGTTTCCGTGCAGGTGCAGACGAGTTTCGAAGAGGAACTGGCGAGCTTGGGAGCTCTCACAGAACTGGAAGGCTCGGTGGCTAGTTTGTCCGAGAGCAAGAGGGATCTTTCTCCTCGGGAGCATTTTGGCAGAAGGTCCTTTAAGAATAGAAGATTCGGATCCGGTTCCAGGGACAAGGCCGACGAAGTTGGCGACGGAGATAACTTCTCGGTGACTAACGCGACCGCATCCGTGGAGAGGTCCAAGGATGAAGTGCGCCTGCTGAAAATATCCAGCTTCGAGGAGGCGGACGCAGAGGATTACCGGAGAGTACGGAACATCCTAACCGACTCCGACTCGAAGGAGTTGAACGAGAATAGAAGAAACGGATCCAAGTCCCTGTCCTCGTTCGAGGACGACGAGTACTGGGACGCGGAGGATGTGAGTGCCGGAAGACCTATCGAGTACTCGATACCGGATCCCGATCGAAACAAAGCTTTCTGGGTAATGACATGCAAATCGATGGATGCTCCTCCCGTTCTCTCTCCGTGCATACTCGTTACCCTTCACTTACACTCCAAACATGACAAACCAACCCGTAGACATACTACTACTATTAGCAGTGGCTCCTGGAGAATTATTAATATTAATTGCAAGAATTTTTAGAGGTGAATGATTACCATTAGGGAATGTTACAAGATATAATAATTTAATAAATCCCTTGGTCCATTCTCGACGAAAAATAAATAGAAAAATCTCCCACGGTTCGAACTAAAAGCATGAAAACTTTACAAGCGATTTCCCGATTGGTACTCACAAATTACGCGTTCTCCACCGAATTCCTAGACGCTGCTGTTCGTCTGACGTCCGTCGTTCTGGAATGGCGTCGACGAGATCGTAAAACGTCGCGAATCGCATTTGGCCGCGAGACAAACTACTCTCCGTGGGCTGGTATCAAATTTATTCCCCGGCGCGGAATCGAAAACGCGCGAGCGTCGCGGTTGACTTCGCGCACGGCAAGTGAATACATAGAAGAAAATCGTACGCCAACCGGGTTGCGAAACGCGACGAGGCGATGAGACCGCTATTGTTGTTTCAAGTTTAGCTAGATTGGGAAACGGTTTTTGGAAGCTTCCCTGATCTGTGGAAAAATCGCGGGCCGGGTAAACGCGATCGTCGACGCTCTCCGCATGAAACACTCGCCTTCGCATGTTCGCTGACGGCGTTCGTTGGTGCCGTGTGCCTCGCGTGGGGTCTCCCAAAATATCAATCTCATATACCCGTCTGCAAATAATACGCGTACATACGTATAGAGTCTTGGTATTCGCAGGAGTCGCAACATTTATCAAACATTTTTCCTCTAAGAACGTCCATTATCAATTATCAACAAATGTTTGACCCTTTAACAATTTTAGAATTTTAGAATTTAATACGTGTTTAAGAATCTATTAAGATTTGAAATTATTATGCGACGTTAATCTCTTTCGTTGCAACACTTTTGCTACATGAAATATGAAATATAACATGTCTTACATTTAAATATGTAGGGTATGTACATAGATTTCTACTTATCACTACAATTTCACAATTATTGTGAAATCAGCAGTATATTTACGAGCAGTACAATTATTGTGAGATCAGCAGTACATAATTTACACTCTAACCATCATGGGGTTAAAGAATACAATCGTTTAAAAAGATTGGTGGAATAGGCTTAAAGATATTGATGATCGATCCAGCTAATAATAAATAAAAGAATCGGTTGCTCGCCCGTTAAGAGTTAGCCGTGTGTCACCACGGAGATTCTCCGAATGGTATTCTACTTTTTTGGATGACCTGATTTTTTAAAGTGGTGTCGTTATATTTTTAATCCGACGGGTCTTCCGGAGCCCCCTTGGCCGGCATATTATGTTACCGCCCGTCGCGATTCACGATCCGCGTAGGCGTTATCACGTCCTGCTGTCACGTACGATTTTCATTTTCCATCTTCTATTTATAACGTAACTGGCCGCGGCGTTTCTGAAATACCTCACAAACGGGAAACCGCCAATTCACCGTGAATTCGCGATCGAGGCATGCAATTGGCAACGGTTTGAATATAAACGCAATCATGGGATACATTGAATGATTCCAAATTATTCGTAGACATACTGTATGAATTTTTATATATTATTATTATTATTATTATTATTATTAATTAATTTGCTTCCTGCGAGAAACGTGCGAGACCATTTATTTATATTGCTAAATATGGAGGGGGGTTGATAGCTGAAAGAGGGATCGCGTCAGGAATGCGGTTACGTGGGCGGGAATGCGTAGACTAATTACGACCCAATTACAACCGTGGCTCTATTTTTCCGGCGATTCTATTTTCCAATCCCGCGTACCGTCGGGAACCACCTGTTTGGCACGCGATCAACACGTTCGATGAAATTGGAAAAACTAGTCGATGATGTACGACTGAATGCTTTTACCAATCTCGAATGAATCGCGTCCAAAATTTCCGCAGAGATAAATTCTTGGTAGTCAGAGCTTAATGATCAACGAAACGAATTTACATGACACGAGTCATGCGATGTCACGCGAGATATTTTACAAATTAATTCATTGCCCTCTTTTCATAAATTCTCCGTTTATTTATACGCGTAAGAAAATATGCGTATGTATAATGTAATTGTAAACAGAGACTGCGAAATTACAAGGGTTAATTTAATTTATTACTTGCTTAACAACGATAACATCCAGTATTTATAAAGTCGATCGCAAACGGGAAGCAGACGTAAGCACTTAACTTCCCGTTCCCGTGGAATTTGCGTATTAATTGTAAGAGAGAGAAGCGTCGGCGTTAAACAGGCCAGAAATATCTTCACCGGGGGAAGAGATGAATAAAAAGCGAGAAATGAGAAAACGGATGGAAAAGAAGGAAGAAAGGTGGGTTCGCCACGAACGAGAGGCGCGAACTTGTAACCTGTCGCAGTCGACCGCTAACGAGTCGAATGGTGAAGCGAGGGAGAGAGCCGGGGACCGGCAGGAAAGAAAGAGAAAGAAGGGGTGGCGTAGAAAAGTTGCACCCGGCACACTGCACCGAGAATCTCGACAGGGAGTAGAAGGAGAGGAGGAAGAGGATGAAGAAGAAGAGGACGAAGCGGGGCGGAGCGGCGCGAGGAGGACCGTGGAACGGGTGAGAAAGAGGGCGGCGAGGGAAGAGGGTGGACGCGCGCGGCGCGTTTCTGGAGTCGTCGGGACTCCGAAAATAGCGTCCCGATATGATGACGCCCGGAGCGGACCGATCCTAGATTTCAGTCAGTTCGCAAGCTCGAAAGCTGCTGGGTACACGCGGAACACGCTCTGAGCCACGATCTCCGGTTTCACATTTCCATAGAGGCGACCAGCCAGCCCGACCTAGCCCTCTTCTTCCCGTTCCTCCGAAACAGCCGTGCCATTTCGCTCGCACGTCTTCCATTCCTCGTATTCTCTCGCTACTCTTCCTGGACATCGCACGTCCGGTTCCACGCTCCCTCGTTTCCCCGTGGAATCCGAGAGTAGACGCTCGCGGCCGAGTAGACTGTAGACGCGCGGATACAAGTCTCTTCGCAAGGCAACGATGGCGGACGTAGACAGTGTAGTGTACACGACCACCGAGCGCAAGGTTCGCAAAGTGAAGAAGACGACGAAGCGCAGGGAGAGCCACGATCAGAACGCCGAGGTCACGATCACCGAGGTCGACAGCACGCAGAACCACCACGCCATCGAAGAGTATGTGCTGGCTGCAGATCTAAGCTCGGATCGGCCCGACGCAACCCCCGTTCATAGTTATTCCGTTTTTTGTCTTAACCACGCGCTTTTCCGTTTACGATCGCGACACCCTTCTTACAATGGGACCTTACCGGTCACCCGAGGAACCGCGATCTCCTAGCTCGATAGGCTGATTCACCAAATCTTCTAATTGCGCTAGAACATTAAGACGCATTAAATATGGTGAACGTGATCCGACTGTGCGATCATCAGAAATCTATTTGTTTCCTATGTATTTGAAACGTGAAGTTCGTATTCGCCCACACTAAACAAAATCGATGGTCTGGTTTCGATGAAACGAAAACAACCTCTTTTTGGCTCGCGAGCTTTATATTTGCCTTCGCGATCGTCCTGGTTTCCTTTTAATAAGACAATTTGTTATTCACGTATATTACAGTTCAGTTCTTTCTCTGAAAATCTGAACACCGGGAGCTATAATGCGAAGTAAGAACTGAAATTGTAAAATTCAGCTATTCCAATTGTTTCATATCTTGACAAATGTTCTAAGACATTGGAAAGATCGTTAGGCAATTTTTCAAAGTCGGATTCTCAGGGTGACTGGCCAGCTTTTCTCACATAGGAGCAGAGATCTCGGATCGAGATCCACGCGTTACGTTACGCGGTTTCTTTTACGCCACTTTATGATATGCTCCCGTACAAAAAATACTCAGCCAGCACATACAACAGCACTCAACCAAGGTACATATTACCAGCAATTCAATCGCAACAACAGAGCAGACACTACAGAGCACCGGGCAACGAGAGAGATTGCGAGGAACGAGATTTGCGTTTGAAATAAGAAAAAAATACGTGTGAAAAATCACACTGTGAGATGAACGCGTTTTGCTACGTTGTATTTTGTAAACGAAAATCCTCGTTGCGTTATGTTATCTTTAATTTCGAAATTTATCTCATTAAAAATTGTCGCTGAGGAGTGTTCACTCTTAACCCTTTGCCTTACCGTTTCTCGTTTATTACTCGTATAATCTGCAGTTAAGTCCTGTGACTTACGATCATGCCGATCATAGGTTTGAACGAGGACGAAGCTGTATTAGTAACAGAATTTGTGGTAGCAGAGTGTAACTCGATATCGTAAGGCAAATTGGTTAAAGTTTCTCATTTCGTGAATATGTTTATAAATAGATTGTTGGGGATCGGGTCTAACGAGCGTTCGCGAAGAGGAAACAATGTGTTAGAATGGCGATTGCTTCCTAAACAGGTCGCGTTTTCTTTTTTGGTTTCCAGTTGATTTTCAGTGGCGAGTACACGAAGGCGATGAACAAGGACTGGCACAGCGGCCACTTCTGTTGTTGGCAGTGCGACGAGTCTTTGACCGGGCAGCGTTACGTGCTCAGGGACGAGCATCCTTACTGCATCAAGTGTTACGAGAGCGTATTTGCGAATGGCTGCGAGGAGTGCAACAAAATCATTGGTATCGACTCCAAGGTGCGTACCTTTAATCATTTTGTCAATAACGAAGCCGATATCTCGCGAGGCCCGTTGATTCATCGGTCGCGGCCTCGATCCCGCTTACAACTTCGTTCTCCTTGATTTTGAAAGTACAGTGGAGCCTTTTGAAAGAGTCAAACGTGCTAATTGTAAGAAAACAACAGAATTGTATTTTTCAAGTGGACGACGAAAGTATATGCTAATTTCTATCACTAAGTACATTCGCGAGACAAAAAGACGTTTGTTACAAAAAGACACTGATGATAAATAAAATTTTGAGACTATTTGGATATAGAAACCACTACTGTTCTCGCGTATCCAATGGAAATGAATCTTCTGCGACGGCGATCCCTGGGTTTGGATGCAGTCCAACCGGGCAAAAAACGAATCTAGTTTTCACCTAAATTTAGATTCCGTAGCACAGAGCGTCCATTGATTAATCGTTCTCTCAGGTTTCCGCGTAAGTGCGGACAAATCGCTTTACGAAAAATTCCGCGTGCAGAATTGTTAATTATTATCGTTTCGCGCAATAATGGACGGAGAGACGAGGTGGCGATATGCGAACACGGGCATGGGCGTTCACTTACTCATTCCTAGAAATAGAAACGATGATGCAGGTGCTTGCTAGCCATATCGGCTAGTGTTCGAATGTTTATTTCCGTTTCGTTTCTCACTTCGTTCGCCATTATTATTCCTCCTACTTGGTTGGTCGAGACCAGACCCAGGGAGGGAAACGAACGGTCCTTCCACCGGCCAGTTTTCGTGACAAATTCGCTGTCAAGACGCGGCATCGTTTGCCAACGAGCCAAGGGAGATTAACTTTTTACGCAGCGGACGAGAGACTCCAAGGATCCCGTTCGGGTGTCGCTTCGTAGAGGTCGACGAGGTTCATGATTACAATCGATCCTAAAATGGAGAGCCGCGTGCTTCGTGTTAATTCGATTGATCGCACGTTTAAAAATCTAATCGATTCGAGTGTTTACCACGATCCCGCTGGAAAAGGTAGAGTGACATAACTAATCTTCGTCGCTGCGCGTAGAAATCTGTTTCCTTAAAGGCGACATTGAATCTGGAACGCATTCAAGTTTCCTTAGAGTCGCGAGGACCTTGTCCAAGAGCGTAAATATTTCTCAAAGCCTCGCCAAAGTCCGCGAGTCACCGGACAATCGGAAATTTTAAACAAACCGCTTATGCAATTGCGCTTCAAGTTTTAACGAGGTCTTGAAAGGCAAGAAATTACATTTGCATTCGAAGAATTAAACAAGCCTTCTGCAGTCCGACTTAATTCGCTTTATATTCTCCACGTTCTCTGGTGTCGATATCGTTGACGCTATAAAAACTTATAGAAACTGAGAAGAGTGTAAAGCAATGAAATTCGTAATGGACTGCGGAAGGTTAATGCGTTCGGGAGACAAGGAAATGAATTGTCGGTGAATTGTTTCCAGGATCTTTCGTACAAGGATAAGCACTGGCACGAGGCCTGCTTCCTCTGCAACAGGTGCAGGGTGTCCTTGGTGGACAAACAGTTTGGTAGCAAGGTGGACAAAATCTACTGCGGTAACTGCTACGATGCCCAATTCGCCAGCCGTTGCGATGGATGCGGCGAGATCTTCCGCGCTGGTACGTAACACGAAACCCCATTTCTTTGATAACATTCGCGAAAATAGACTACGAACCCGGTCGTTCGTAAAATCTCGGTCAACAATAAAAATAAGATAAGCATTGTCCCGAAATAGTTGAACGTAAAGCAGATCGCAGACTCGGTTCAGACCCGGCAGAACCACCTGTTTCCGATGCCGCCCCAGAATACAATGAATCACGAATCGCGGGAGACTATAGATCTCTTATTTGGCGTTTCTTATTAAGGCAATCGAGTCAAGGCTCACTGTTCAATGCTCAGGATAATTATTACTGTTTCAAAGAGAAAGGAACACCTTCGGCTGTATTTTACGCCGAGAGTTTCAAAATGATATGCAAACAGCCAGAACTGTCCTCACTCTCTCAGAGCAGCGACCAATTAGTAGACATTAAATATTAATTAGAAACTTTGTGCAAACTCTGCCTCGCAGTTTTCAAAAGCTTTCTTAAACTTGACAAAGTTTTTCCATCATTAAAACTGCTCTCAAGTTTAGATACGCCCTCTTCCCGAGCAGGTCAAGAAGCGGATTGAAGTAAATGGTTGTTCTCATATAGGAGGACGCGACCTTTTCGCGAAATGCGAACTCGGAACGGTACGTCGCGGTCGCAACCGAGGTACAACCTTCGGCGATCGCAGACGGCGTGGTGGTACTTACACACCAAACGCGACCTATATAACGCGTGATTCACGACTCTGTGACCGTGCTCTGGGTCACGGTTGCGCAGCTAATTAAGACTACCACCTCCGCTAACGAGCTGCGTTCGTACTCGAGCTTTAGAATCGAACTTTTACCTTCTGTCAAAAAATGTTAAAAGCTTCCTGCGTAGCAGCCTCGTTAAATCATTTACAATATTTTCTCCCATTTAAATTGAATAGGACACAAAGTTCAGACCTTTGATCCTGTTTTCCACTGTACCAAATTTCCATAGAGCTTCTTTGAAAAGATATGAGAGACAAGGAAATTCGGTCAAGTACTCTCGAGGATGCAGAACGTAACTGGGAATCGCGAATCGAAAAGTAGCGTCGCTACAGTGAATACGGTAGAGAGAGTTAGGAGATTAGAATGAATGGATGGCAGAATTCCGTGCCTCCTGTGGACTGGTTTCGACTTTACGTGATGCGCGTGGGAGTCGCGTTAAATCTTAAAGGGAAACAGGATCGTCCGTGAAAATGAAACTCGGTGCCAGCGCGTGTCCGTATACGGATCGACCTTTCTTTCGAACAGGCGCGACGTATCGGCTCGGCGAATCTGTTTCGACGTGATGCATTGCAGTTCAACCCTTAGCGATATTATTTGAATAGATTTGCTGGCCAATTAATAACTTTCATTATCTAAATGCGAATCTAAATCTACTCTATCTTATCTTATAAGAACTGTAGACGTTGATCATTTGTAACAAATCGATTAATTTATAATAGTGATAAATGCTATGAGAAACAGATAAAACTATAACTGTAACGTGATTAACACTGTTTTTCTGAAAATGCTACGTCATTTTGATAGTGAAGATTATTAGAACAAAAAGTATATTGTGGAATAGTTAAGATTATTCGGATGAAACATCTTTATTTTTACATTATGTGTCAAAAATTGAGCTTATCGTTATTACTGTATCATTAATCGAAATCCTACGTGTTTTTTGGTGTAATTCTTTCGATGAATCACATACGACTAGTTTACTTTGTTACATGAGATACCTTGTCATCCTTCTTTTAAACTTCTACGCAGCAAGAACTAATAACCGAGGAAAGAAGAATAAAAAGTACAGATGCGTCACTCTTGCGAAATATGAAAACGAAAATGAGATTCTGAGAACTTCTCTTCACTAATTATTATTTGCATCGCAATCTGATTTGTGATACAATCGAAAAAATTATTACTCGTTCAAGAGTATAGTATGCTCATAGTAAATAAGATGTAAAACTGATGACAGTCACAGGACAATTGACCTGCCCGTTAACATCGAATACTGACGTGTACGATTAAACTGAGGCAGGACAGACTATATTTGCAGAAACAGTCATCCATGTCACGTCGCCGGACAATTAAATTAAATCTTCCCTCGTACAATGAATTCGTCAGAGTTGCACAATCAGGAGTTGCACGGAAAAAAGCCAGCGATATAAGAATATCACAATCTCGTTCGCAGGAAATATGAGACACAAGCGTTATATCTATCGTGAGAAATATTTCTGAATGCGTTGAAAAAATAGAGAAGAGAATAGAAACGGAAACTTCACAAAGTTATCAGCGGGGTCGAAGTAGAAGACACGTTGCGCGTGCTCGCGACGCGACGCGCGCGGTGAGTCCAGTGAGGTTCCAGAAGCGGACTCAAGCTTCAGTGGCTTGCAAGACTCCGGGCCAATCGCACAATCCACCGATTTTCTCTTCTTCTCCGTGTCCGTGTACCGGTGTGTTTTCGAATCGTGACCGCGTGTCAGCTTCTATCTTCTTTCAATACGCAGGTGACTCTCAGGTGATCCTCTCGCATCTCGATCAATTATTAACATATAAGAGAAGACATGATATATAAAAGTCTATATTATATGAAATTGAATCTTATACGAAATTTAATTCATCTATTTATATACGACTTGTAGAATTTTTGAGAAATTTCTTTAGCATCAGATTTAGTAAATGAATTTATGTACTCCTTTATGTATATGAATTTAACTAATAAGAACTAAAGACATAAAACTATAGCCGTAACTTTTGCATTTTACTGATGTTTTATTGAAATTTTAATGATTGATCGAAGGGGAGAAAACTGAGAGTCGAAATCGGAAATTTCAGTGAATCTTTAATTGTGGAAAGAGAAAAGCTCGCAAGGGAGGAAAAATGGGCACAGACGCGTTGAGCGAACGGCTTTCTACCAAACTTAGCCTGCAGACTAAAACCGTAGGCGAGGAGAGGATAAAAAAGGCAAAGGACAACGAGGAAGATGTTGCAATATTCAGCATGATCCCAATGGAGGGTGATCCTAAGTTCAGGTGCTCCCTCGGCAATGATTGCTTCCTGGGTGACCCGAAGAAGGCAGAACCAGGTGACGATAACAATGCAATTTTCTCTGAAATTGAATCTTCACAAATTTTTATCATATTTACAAGTTCTTATCTGTTGAGAACGATTGAAGACGATCGAATTTAAGTTCTAATTCGATAACTG